AAAAAAAAAAACCAACATGTCAGGCTACCATTTTTATGTGTTGGAAAAATCCTCGATATCCATTTTAAAGGTTAGTCATTTCTCTTTAGTTCATAGTGGTTTCCTGTAAATGTCTTCTTTTTGGGGATATCCACTCCTGCCAAATCTTCCTTTAGGACAATTTTGGAGTTTTTCCATAGTGAAGGATGGATCTCAAGTGTTTTCAAGTTCAGTTTTTAGAAGGAATTAACTAGGATGAATTGGACCCAACAATTGTAAACAGGAATTAGACCACTGAAGAAAAACAAAACAAAACAGTGATCTTCTACCTGCCACTAGCATGGCAAAATTCCTTTCCTCTGTTTTAATTGGGAAGTGATTATTAAATTAAGAGAACCTTATTATAGATGAATGAGATCTGGACTTAAAAAAACATGAGTGATTAATACAAGGCCATGCAGACAAATTTTAATAAAATGATTGCCATGAAATATCCTTAATACAGAGAGTTCACCCAGATTCCTGGGGGTGAATTGGCTCTCTCTAAAGAGGATGGCGTGGGCAATTCCAGAAGAGCCAGACCATGATTCTTCACAGTGAGTTTCATTCTAACTGAACCTCCCCGTCTGTTCTCAGGCCTGTCATACAACAGGAATGACTGCAAAGGATCAAACTCGACAATAACCCTGAGGAGATTTTTCTTGAAAAATTGAGGCAGGAATGCAGGACAGAGCTGTTAGCTAAATAACTAATCTGGGGAGTCTTAACCACATTAAAACCAAACAGTACAACAAGCAACCAGAGCTATGCAGTCAGAGTCTTTACTTGGGTTACTTCACCTGCTAACTCAGCTGGAAGGCCAGGGAGTTTGGAATTCATTAAGAAAAAACAGCTACCAATTCTTGGCAGAACTAAGTTAAGTTGAAGCAATTCTAGAATTTTCTAGCATGTGAAAACAGGGTTTGGTTTCTGTTTACAACTAAGAGGCTTGCATAGGTTGATACCTCAAATTCAAGATAAATCTTCAGTTTCTAGCTCTATTTTAAAAGTCTTTTTATTTAAGAAGATCTGATACATTTTTTAAGCTAAAAATCTTTTCAAAAATAAGACTGTATAAAGAAAATGATAAAAAACATACCATTCAGTACTTAGAAATACTGAAATGTTTGTGGACCATTTACTGCGTGCCAGACACAGTTCTGTCTGCCACACATTCACATTTAATCCTCATACTAATTGCTGTTATCCTTTCCGCTTGTGGAAGCTAGCAAGAACCTCAGCGAACTTGCTCAAAGTCACACAGAACAAGTGACAGAGCTGAACAGGGGCAGTCCAAGTCCAGTGCTCAAAGTGATCACGTGGTTCAACTAGCTGAAAAAAAATATTAAGGAGCTGTGGGTGCAGCTTCAGCGGTGGAGCTCTTGCCTGGCATGTGTGAGGCCCTCGGCTCGCTCCCTAGCCCTAGTCTGGAGCTACATCCTCACCCCCAGAAAAGATATTTTTAAGCTGCAGAATCCATTTATCAAGTGCAACCTGACATGCATGGCTACTGCAGCTTCAGCGGGACCTGCCTGTGAGGCCCCCACATTCCTAACACCCAAAGCATACTTGTAGACACAGCAACAGCTCGTAAACCTTCTGACCCAGTTCAGTTCTGTCTTTTATACATGTGCAAATTAAAGCCCAGAGGGGCAAAGTGACCTGTTCAAGGTCATAAACCTTATGGCCAAGGGAGGACTGGAATTCAGGTCTTCTGCCTGCCTCTGTTGGCATTGCTTCTGCTGCCTGATTCTTCCTGCTTCTCGAGCAGAATCTCAGTATGACATGGCATGGTTGCCTTCTGCAGGACCTTTAGCTCCTGCCTTCTCAGCTTAGATGGGATGTGCATGAACAGTAGCAGTGATAGGCAGTAAAAATAAGGTGACTCATTCCTGTCCTCCCATGCTAGTGGGTACTGCCACCACCTCCCGTCTGCTCCCGCTTCCCCCAACAGTACATTCCTCGGAAATTTACCCACGCACAACTCCAGGTGTCTCTTAGGTGTTGATGCTTCCCTGTGGAGTTTGGTATACCATAGTGTGAAAACACGTGGCATTTATTCCTTTTAGTTCTCAAACTGAAGGAAGTTTGGCTCTGGTGGCAGCTCTAAGTTGTGCATTTCTCTGTGATGCACAATCTTACCTCCTTTTTTGTTGCTTTCGAGTCAGTTTTTTTTTTTTAATTTAAATTCCAAGGATCCTGTTCACTTGTAGAGTCAGCCAGTTATTTGATGTTGGGTTTTACTTATGGAAAGGGCAAACATTTGCTTGCCCAGAACAGTTCCTGGTTAACTGTACCATCAGTGTTGTTGCATTTGTTTTGCTGTGTTGGGTATCTAAATGACATGAGTATGGGTTCTGTAACTTTATTATTCAATGGTCTTGTGTATTTCCAAGCCCGTTGGTTGCCTATAATTTGTCATTTTTTCAGACAGATGCCTTGCACCATTACACTAATTTGTGGATTAGCATTTGTAGGCTTTAAAATGTGGGCCTTTAAGAAATGAATGTTTGTTGTGTGAAAGCAGATTTTTGAGACTTGCTTTCTATTCCTCTGGGTAGTACTTTGTCCTGTGTCCCTTTAATGTCTATGGAACTATTGAGAAAAGTTTAATGTGACAAATAAAGTGCTTTTTATAAATTCAGTTTAAAAAATGTATTCGTTGGGAGCTGAGGATAAAATCTTACAGTAATTGGGTTAAATAATATCTGTATTCGGTTTTGAGTTCTATTCTATTTTGGGTTTCTAAAGCCCTTTGGGAATTTGATGAAAAGCACGGATAGTCCTCCTAGGCTTAACACACAGAAGTACAAATGCTTGTATACTGAAAGAGTTGACCTCTGCCTTAAGCTAAGGCTTCCTAACCAGGAACAATTTAATCACTGATCATCTAATCACCAGTGTGGCTTTATGACTACAGGCTCTGTGTGTAGGAGTGAAGTGTGGCTCACAAAATGTAAAAGTCCTGGTATACAATACGGCAATTATTTCGATAGAGTTTCTGTAATTAGTCTACCTGAATCAATTAGTATTATGCCCTTCAGAGATGGGGAGAGAAGTAACTTGTTCATATTGAAGTTATTTTTGTATGGATAAGTCATATATATTTTCCTCTGCAAGTGGGGCAGGAAAGATGCAAGTATCTGTGACAGTGTAAGACACAGATTATCTCACATGAATGTTTTGTGAGTACAGCAGACCCTGGGTATCCACGGGTACCTGGTTCCAAGATCACCATGGAGGGAACACCATGCACGCTCAGGATACAGAATTCAGGGCTGTGCTGTAGATGCTTGGTTCATTTTCCCATACTGCTGCCTAACTTCTGCTGAAGACATATGAAGACATGCTTGTTAACAAATCTAGCATTCTCACTTGATCACGTCAATTAAGCACATTTGATTTTACTTGTTTTGGGAGGCAGATTTTCACAAAATTCGGGGTAGGGAAATACTCAGATCACATGATGACAGTGGGACTGAGAAGTCAACTGGGATGTGTAATGTGTGTGCAGGAATTTTAAATTTTTGTTTTTTTAAAATGTTTTTCTGATCATGCAAAGTCAAAACCATGTGTAATAAATCCACAAATAAGGCTGAGCTGTGGTGAAGGAAGGTGACAGTGGCTTCCCTGGGGATGGGTGTTGGGGGAAGGGGTGGGTAAGCTTAAAGTTCTCTTGTAGCCACTTGGTATATATATAATTGGGCCTCAAGACGTAAGCAGCTCCTTGACTTATCCTTGTGTCCCTCCTTAAGGGCAGAAAAGACCACTGACCCACTCACCTCCATAGGAATGGATGATGGGAAGGGAGATAGAGATTTTGTTTTTTTGCCTCAGGCTACAGTGCAGCAGGCACCCTCTAAACACCTCAGTGGTTTAAGGAAAAATTCCCTCTCTGGGATTAACTGTAATCCACAAAAAAAGATAGATCATTTAACAAGTTAAAATACATTTGAAGTTATGTGGTAAACTCCACCTTTCTCCCCATATCAACTCACCAATTTGATAACCAAACAGTGAAGGTAAAGTGAAGATAGACTCTTTTCAAATGGTCCTCTAACAAGCTGGTTAACTGCACAGGCCTTGTGCATGCCTGACCCATGGCGGGTGCCGACACTGAAATATACCGATGTGCTTTGCAAAGAAGGGAAGAGAGCTGATCAGTGGTGTTTTTCTTCATGGTACCTCTAGGTGCTAAAAATGCAGGTGAGGAACTGGATCAGTAACTTCCAGTAGAGGGAGAAATGCTTTGTTTAGGTGGAAAGTAGACAGTAAGTACTGGAATCCCATGAAAGGTAGGTTTCTTTGCCTATAACATTTGTTAGACACCTGGCTGCCTGTCACAGATGGAGTATATCTCACATTCAACTCCAAAGAGCTCAAAAACTGAGTGCTGACATGACACTAACTGGAGAGTTCTACACCGTGAAACCTTGTTGCATGCACAGAATTACTAAAAATACTGTATTACGTGACCTTAGGCCTGTGTGGATAAGGTATATGTGAAACACATGAATTTCTTGTTTAGGCTGGGATCTCATTTCCTAGAGATCTCATAATGTACATGCAAATATTCCAAAATCCAAAAACCCTCTGATCCAAACACTTCTAGTCCCAAGCATTTTGGACAGGGGGTACTCAAGTTGTACTTCATTCCACAAAGAGCTGGGATTAGAAAAACTGGGTGAAACAGCCTTCCTTTTTGTCCACTTTCCTTGCAGCACTGCCCTTAGCTATTCCCCTGTAGCACCTGACGGTCACACAATGAGTCATTTGCACATGTGGAAGGGTCCTCTCTCCAGACAGGTTGTGGGCTTCTAGGTTTATAAATAATCCTGGCACAAAGTGAACTAAGTGGAATGTAAAACTTGAGACTAAAAAGCACCCCTCCCCAAAATGTTTTTAAAAGAATTTTTGTTCTATGAAGACGAACAGTGCCAGGACCTGTTTTGTAACATAATCCAGTCCATCAGTCTGGGTGATTTTGTTTTTTAATGAGAAACATTTGAGTTGTACATACCACAAACAGCTTCAAGTTTCTGTACCAACCCCTCCCCCACAGTGGCCAAACAGTTCAACCAAACCTGAAGCATCTGTTTTAAACGTGAAAAGTCTTATAAAATTAACTTACAAAAACATCCCTATCAAGTCTGTAGTTTGGCATTTACTGTACATTAGTCAAAAGCTTAAGCTAAAATCCAATTTTTTAAAAAAGTCAAAGTTTACATTATTCATACAGATTCAGCATCATTAAAAAATATGCACAAATAACCACATCCATGCAATAAAATTTCTTTAAAAATTTAAAGCAATATAAAAAGAGCCGACCTAGGTACTAAACAGAGTATTTTGGTTTATAATGGTAGCTCAGATTGCTAGCTGATTGGAGGAGAACCCACCCTACATGTTTACCATATTCTCATCTTGATCAATCAGCTTGGGTGCAGATGAGTTTCGGGACCATTTTTAAGGTGGAATCTGCTCACTTGCTTCTCTAAAATTCTTTACATGCTCGTGGGCCATATAACTACGTTGTAATAATGCTGTTTTCAAAGAAGTCAGAATTCACACAATGTGTAGCTCTTTAGGAAACTAGCGTTCCCTCAACTAATCAACTGGGCTCGCCGAAACGTGGGAGCAGCACTGCCATCGGTTGTTGTCCCCAGGATGAACCTCATTTGAAAGTTGCCCTGGGCCTCAAGAGCCTACTCTGGCCAAGCTGGAGGGAGGTGTCTGCAGCAGATCCCTCGGCCTGGCCAATGCTAAGTCCCTTGCAGATTGGTTTGGAATCACGAGCTGGACACCCATGACAAATGGGCTAGTGATGTGGCGCTGCTGCTGGCGAGGGCTCTAGGTGGGGGGCGGCCCGTTGGTGTACCGCAGCATGGGGTAGAAGGAGCGGGCGAAGTTGTTGGCCTGGGTGCAGCTGTAGTCCTCTTCGGAGGAGGGCAGCAGGCAGGCCAGGAGCAGGAGCAACAGCAGCAGCAACTGCAAGGGCAGTGCTGCCCTGATCACCCGCCACAGGAAGGAACGCTGTGGCCGAGAGCTGCCGGCACCACCGGGGCCTGACACCCTGTCAACAGAGGGGGTCAGGAGCTGGTCAGGAGCGGCCAGAGCCATGCCTACTCTCTGCCTAGGGACAGGAAGAAATCCAGGACTCCAGGACATGAGAGTCCAGGGGGTCCAATCCCTCCCCCTCACCAGGCAAAAGAAACAATTTTTTTTTGGTGGTGGTATGGGGGTTTGAACTCAGGGCCTCACAGTTGATGAAGGTGTTCTGCTGGAGCCATGCCCACAGGGAGAAAACCAGATGTTCACAAGGACCAGGACGGTGGCATTGGCGAGGTGGTATGGCCCCAGGTACTCATTGCTGTGAGTGAAATGCTATTACCTGCTGTCTGTCTCGGTCTCCTCTTCCGTAGTCCTCTCTGCTCTGAACTGCTGAACAAAGAAGCCAGTGAGTGTATGGAAGATACTTTAGGCCTGTCAGCAATAAAGTGGGTCCTGCTCTATATTGTGTACTGTTCTCATGTCATCTTTTAGGACTAGGTAATACATTTGAGATTCAACTTCAACAGACAGGAAATAATTGGGTTTGTTAAATTCTGAGTTTCACGTTCTAGTTTGTTGGTCCAATTTAATGTAGAAATCAGACTTGTTTAATAAGGGGACTTTTACAATTTCCTATTATCCCCAAGCAAGAGTAACACAGAGAACCTTTGAATCAGGTCTTTAAAAAATGATCTTTGGAGTAAGGTTTTCCCTTGACCACTGTGCTGTCATGAAAGGTTTAAAGCAGCTTTGGAGTCCCAAGTTTCTGTCATCTCATTGACTTGAAGAAATAACAGTGTGGGTCTCACAGAACAGGCTCTCACCTTCGCTTGTGGGGCTGGCACAGAGGCTGCTGGAGGTTGGTCCCCTGAGTCTACCTCGTCAAAGCTGGGCAGAGACGTGTCTGGATTCTGAAAGCCATACCCCAACAGTTTAGTTCAAGGAAATAGAAGGTTCTGTCCAGTCTCAGGAGCACAAAACTGCATGACGAAGTCTCAAGCAGTAGCTCACCCCTTCCCCCAGCTTAAATCTTTCTCAAAGATGGGGTTCTTCTACCTGTTCCCTCTCCACTTGAACAGACTTTTTCCAGACAAAAGGGAATATAGCCAAGGCAAAGCCAACCATTTGCATTAAAAACCCATAGTTCCAGTTGACAGCAAGATTGCCACAAGTAACTGATACAATCTCATGGCCACCAAGACCAGCTAGCCTTGAGTGCACAGGAGGACACAGACTCCAGAACACAGGGCCCTGCCCCATGGCTGGGAAGGCCACAATTTGGGTATTCCATTTCTTCTGAGGTGCATCATATTTTAATGAGAAGAAATTAGACAACTCAAAGTGTGGTCAGGAAAGAGTGACCAAGACAGCAAAGAGGATCTGAGACCATGTCACATGAGAAAGTGAAGGCCTGTGTTTATTTGACATAAAGGAATGGCAGAAATGAAGAAATTCGATTTATTTTTCATAACCTCAGCTATTGTCAGCTTCCTTTTTCACATGACAGAACACATGTAACTTTTTAAAGGCCTGTCCCTCTACTCAGTCCCTTTACCCCTTGCACCGTCTTCCTGCCACAGCAAGATGCACCCCGCCTTCCTGTTTGCCTCTACCACAACGTCTGGACACATAAAAGCCACAAGCGGACTTACCTGGCTTCCCTGCAAGGACATTAAATCTTGGGCCACTTGCTCACGTAACTGCTTGAGTTTCTTTTCAATAACATGCACCTTCTCTTCAGCCTCAATATAGTCTTCTCTGTGTCCCTTAATGAGCAGGCTGGAGGAGATCTCCTGCAAGGAGTCCACCTGAGGTTCATGTTCCACCAGCTCCTCTTCCAGTTGCTGGAAATAACAGAGTGTGAAACAGTTGTCCAAACGGAAGCTAGTGTGGCCAGATGAGGCTTTCTTGGTTCTGTTCATCTGTGTCCTCAGCCTAGTACTGTTCAAAGAGCAAGTTATGTTGCCATCTCACTCCTGTTTTTAATTCCTTTTCACTCACAAGATAATTATGATGTTGGAGAAATTAGAGGAAAGAAGTGACTGGGGTTGTGGGGGAAGATGAGTCCCTTATCCACAAGGACAAGAAGTCAAGAGAAACTCTAAAGTTAATAAATCAGGAAAGCATCTTAAGCATGCTGTTTAGATACGGGTGCATATAAGGCAAATCACTTGGAATTGTTAAGTGTAGTTATCTTGCTTGTTGTCTAATATGGAAGCCATTAGATACATGTGGCTGTTTCAATTTAATTAAAATGAAAAATTTGGTTTCAGCCATAATAGCCACCTTTCATCTGGCCATGGTGGTTCACGTCTGTAATCCCAGCTGCTCAGAAGGTAGAGGATCAGGAGGACTGTAGTTTGAGGCCAGCCCAGGCAAAGAATTAGCAAGACCCCATCTCACTCAATAGCTAGGCATGATGATGTATGCCTGACATCTCAGTGACATGGGAAGCAGGATAAGAGGATCTCAGTCCATGCCTGCCCAGGCAAAAATGTGCGACTCTGTTCCAGAAATAACTAAGGCAAAAGGACTAGGGGCATGGCTCAAGTGGGAGAGTGCCTGCCTAGTAAATTTGAGGCCTTGAGTTCATATGCAAGTACTGAAAAAATCAGAACAAAAAATTACAGCTGTACTGAACATGTACAGATTTTTTCTTTGTTACCCCTAAATAATACAGTATGACAACTATATATATATAACATCATAATAGGTGTTATAAGTAACCTAGAGTTGATTTAAATTATACAGGAAGATATGTATAATATATGCTTTTTATCTGAGGGAACTGAGCATCTAAAAAATTTTTTTATCTGTCCAAGTCCTAGAGCCAATCTCCCATGGACCCTAAGGGATGAATATATTCACCCTGGGAAAAATACTTCCATTTTAATGGCTCTAAGTTTTTCAGGACATTGTAAACACTGATGTCCCCAGTTCCTGAGTGTCTCAAAGACATTCTGTTCCAGAACTACTGGTAGACATCCACGGGAGCATGAGGGCTGAACTCCCAAGTCACAGCCACCACTTGTGGTACCCAGAACACTGGGTGAGGCTGTAGACTGCTCTGGTCCCTGGAGCTGCCAGCAGCCAGTGGTCACATGGAGGCCCTCGTGGAGAACTTACCAAGAGTTCTTTCTGACGCTCCAGGAGAACCTGGCGGTCTGCCTTTGGGTCGGTGACATGAGCCTTCTGCCTTCGCTTCTCAGCACTTGCTAGCCACAGTAGCAGGTTTTGACTCAGCTGGTGGAAATCCTTAAAAAACAGCATGTGTCAAAGCCCTGCCCCTCATGAGCACCAAGGAGAGAGAGTGCTTTCTCACCCGTCACCCTCACACTGGCCTTCTAGTCTCAGCCAGTGAGGGAAAAGGCCATATTTCAGTGAAGATTCAGGGCCTTAAACCAAGGAACAGGCAAAAGCAGGGAAGGAGAACTCACTCACTTGGCTCAGCCTCCCACTGGGAAGCAGCAGAAAGGAGGGGTTTCAGGACACCCCATGTATGAAGACCACACACATGTGTTACTCCATAAATTTGCTGGACACATGGCTAAGGGAGCCCACCCAACAGGACAGGCTGGGGTGGGCTTATGTCCCCTAAGACAGGGTCAGAGCTACACATCAGTGCTGAGCACTTACACGTCAGACTCCAGGTTAAGATGATACGCACAACCTAGTTTAGTCCTCAGAAGGACCCTAGAATGATTCCCATTTTCCAGATAGGAAGACTAAGGACTAGGAAGCCCGCCCAGTGATTTGCTCAAAGTGTCAAATAGCTCCTCTGATCCCGGGCCAGGTCTTCACATCACTCTGGCAAAAGGACAGAGATGGGGTGGTGCTAGGGCAGCAATCCCAGCTACTATGACCTTACTCCAGGGATGTGGGTTGACCTGAGCAACAGAGCCAGCATTTGGGTCTCTGAGACACAATGGGGATTGTCTCGGTCTGTTTCCTAATGTGAGCCACACTCACTGTACCACATCAGCCTGACGATGGCTAAAAATATCTGCTGGCCCTACCACGTGGGCCTGGTGCTGCTGGGGACAGGGCCTTAGGCTGAGTCAGCATACCTGGCACTGCATGAGCGACTGCCGTAAGTCCCCTCTCCAGCTGTCCACTGCGCCCTGGACTGCTTCCCAGCGCAGGCTCAGCTGGCGGAGCTGACTTTGGAGCTCTGTGGACTCGGTGCTCTCAGCTGGCAGAGATTCCTTGCTGCTCACGTTGACAGAGACCATTAATGCCTTCTGGGACTCAAAGGCTTTTAATATCTCCTGCCACAGAGGAAAAAGATAGTATTAGGTGCCCTGAAAAGAGGAGGGGCTCATTCTGAACCTCCGTAGAAAAGGGATCTTCTACACGCTTCTCCAGGCTGCAGCCACAGAGACCAGAGCTCGCTTGCCTGTGACTGGCTGGGAAGCATCAGGTGAGGGAGCTGCCTTACAAGGTTAGTGAACTTGGCTGGCTGGCCAGCAGGGCCTGAGAGCAGAGGCCTGCCTCCTGGCTGGAGGACTTATGCCTTGCCACTGGCTTATTAATATTTCCGGCCCAGATTAAAAGTCTACTAGATAAAGTATAGATAACCCTTCTGCATCTGCCCCTTTGATATCTCAGAAATGTTACTCCTTGGGAGGAATGAAGTACAAACACAGTAAAGAGTGCCTGGATAACCCAGGATCCTTGACCCGGGACTTAGGAGTTCAGGCTGATCCTCGGGGTACTCCAAAATGCAGCACTCAAAGTGCCCTCCCTGGGCTAGTTTGCAAGGGGGGCTGGACTGATTATGTGGGTGACAAATCCTAAGTGCAAACAGGGTAACAGGATCAGGCCACAGGATTCAGCACTTGTGATCTGGTCCTCCAAGTCTGACCCTTCCAAGGGAGGCTCCACCATTAGCTTTGCCTGGAACTCTTGCATATAGTTTAGAAGGGTGGCTTTAAGCTGCCTGCCAGTGACCTTCAACCTCTCCATGAGAATCTAGAAGTGCCTTGGAAGCCAGATCTTTCCTGCCCTGGGGATTCGAGCCCCATCTCCCCAGCACTGCTCTGGGCTCAGGATGTTTTGTAAAGCTACCCTTTCATGTGGAAACAGAAATCTGCATTGAGTCCCTGCCAGTCATAGAAGTGAGGTGGAAGAGACCGACCTGTACCACACTCCATCTGCAAGCTGTCACCTATACTCTAAGCAGGTCTGATACATCTGCCCAGCACAACCATGATTCACATGCACGCACATTCTGAATTCTCCCCCTCCCACATGGCCAGCTCACCTGCAGTCTCTTCACTCTCAGTTCCATGTCGTGGATATTTGAAGGAGGCTTTGCTATTTTTAAAATTTCCAGCTCCTCTTCAGTTCTTTCCAGCCAAGCAGTGATGTCGCTGATATCAGAGTTCAGTTTCTGCACGTTTTGTTTTATTCTGAGTTTACTATGAAGCTCTTGTGGTGGAATCAGTTCCCATCTGTCGAAGGCACCTGGAATCCAAAACCCCCAATCAAAAAAAGCAAAAATGCAAACAGATTTCCCTGCCTGCACCTACAGGGGTCATGGTGGTAAAGGGGTGCAGAGGAAGGTCTGGGCTGGGGAGTTCTCTCTTCTGGAGTATATCACCCAGCTCTCATCTGAGGCCTGGCCCTGTAGGCTAGAAGGAGGGTGGGAATGGGGGCAGGGAACCCACCAGTGGCCAGTATGTGCTTTGGTGTCAAACATGGCTCTTTAGTTCCTGCTGCCATTAGGGTGTTTTTCCCCTTGGCCCATAAATGATCAGGACAGTTAATCAGCTTTAGTTCAGATTTAGCTGAGCAATTATTTTGCAAATTACTGTACTGGTCTAATGAGACACCTTAGAGAATGCTCTGATCATCACCTTCATGTCTGATTAAGTCATTGAAACATATACGTCTTTGCTGGGCACTGTAGTACATGCCTCTAATCCCAGGACTCAGGAGGCTGAGGCAGGAGGATCATGAGTTCTAGGCCAACCTGGACTACATAGTGAGACCCTGACCCCATTAAAAAAATAAATAAAATATGCTTATCATATAACACTCTTACTGTCAATGTTTTAAGAAATTTCCAGATTAAAATGAGTAGCCTACGGATTCACTTACAAATACCAATCAGCTATTTGAAAATAACACTGGGCTGGGGACATGGCTCAAGTGTGAGGCCCTGAATTCAAACCCCAGTACTGCAAAAACAAACACCCCCCCACCAAAAAAAAAAAGGCAGTTGTGTAAATTCAGTAGTTTTGGTGAGTTATATACTTGGTTGATTCCTAATTAATGTCCTCTCAAGCAATGATTTACAGTCACCCAGTTGGGCCTAAATGGCATACTTCACCTCTCCTGACAGCTGCCCATTCATCAGTACCTGACTGCTGTCCTGCTAAGGTGGTCAGTCGCTCATCTTCCTGCTGAGGGCTGCCATTCAAGACTTGTGGACCTTCTTTGTCACCATCAGTGCCTGGACGTAACAACAGCTTTACCTGGAATGAGCCAGTTTTTAAGTTACATCTGTAAAACTTAAAGGTTCTCTGAAGAACAAATAAATTCTTATTAACAAGTAGGAAATAAGTATATGGGCCTTCCCTTCAAAGGATAACTTGCTAACAATAGAGAGGTGCCTTCATGTGTGGATAGCATTTATAAATAAGCAAGCAGAGCTGAGGGCAGACACAAAGCCTGAGCCATAGCCAGGCAAGCAGCGAGATGTCACTGATGGAAACAAAACAGCCTGCTTGCTTCTTAACGCTCCCCAAAACACCACGCAAATACAGTTGGTGAGCTTCCTAGACTGTTTCTACGCTATCCACACTTTTACATTTCTTGTGCTTTTCAGAACTTTTGTCATCCCTCCCCTCCATCCTATTGAGGTGGTTGGCATTTTTATCACTTAGAAACACAGAGGACAAACCTCCTCCCAGGGTCATTCATTGTCAAGTGTTTATCCTTCACTGCATAGAGGGACTATTCTGTTATCACAGAGCTGATTAGGCTATTATCTCAGGCCTGTCCAAAAATAAATGTACCCCTTTTAGAAAAGCCACGCTTTCTTTGGATTGCGTCCATATGGTCTATTTTGTGTGGAATGGGAACAACTGAAAAAAATCTCAGATTTGTGCCAATGTTGCTGGTTTCAGGTATAGTAAAAGGGTTGAGCTCTTGAAACGGGCCAGGTGTAATGTCTGGAAGAAGTCATGGCACAAAGGCCCAGGGTGTAAGACTGGCTAGGTGCTGGGGTCTCTTTCCCCCAGGCTTTCTCTTCACCACAGGTGGGCAGATTAAAAGTGACAGCTGTTTACCACACAACAGCGAGAAGAAGAGTTTTTGAACTGGGCACAGCCAACTCACTGCCACAGCTTGATTTTGACCATGTAAAGGCAGAACCATCTCCAATGATGGAGCAATAGTGTCACCCCTATACACAGGGGACACTTTGACTAAATCCACTGGTTCTTACATTGCTGTTGGTAGCACTAAAATGTAAGCGACATTTTAATTTCAACCCTCTTGTCGCTGATTCTTTGCACTGAGAAGGCTCAGCGGACAACATTAGACCTTAGGCTGCCGTTCAGGAGCTGCCTCGCCAGAACAAGCCACAGCCTCATACAACTAAGGAGCAGCTGCTGGGACAGCAACCCCGCACAGTCTCAATTGTGACCACCACTTCTAGGGCTGCCTTTCACCTTTCTACACCTCAGCCCCAACAACTGTGTAAGGCAGGCAGGTCTATCCTCAGGTGAGGGAGGCTTATGAGATGCTCTAGGCCTCAAGGTAATGACCTGGTAGGCCTGGGGCTCAGACCTGGTCCACCACAGCACACCTTCAAACCTGAGATGTGAAGTTCTGGTTTTCTGAACAGGATGTGTGGTCAAAGGTAATATGACAAAGGTTTGGGGGCTCAGGAGCAGTTCACAAAGGTGCTCCTCCCTGCTTCTTCCTGGACAACTGACTCAACAGCAGCAATTCCTGCCAGATCACACCAACACAGAACAGTTTTGAGCTAGAAACCTCTCTCTAAATCTGGTCAATTTGCTCTAATGAAACAGGGACAGCTCAGATTTCTTTTCTTTTCTTTTTTTTTGGAAGGTAGTAATGGGAATTGAACCTAGTGCCTTTTCCATGCCACACCCCCAATCCCTCAGCAGAGACATTGTCATGGAGAGAAAAACAAAATGTGTCTGAACAGTACGTATGTTTTGTACCAAGATTTCTCTTTTCAAAATTTTAACTCTTACTCATACGCCTGGGTATAGACTTATACCCCAGGGGTCAAGGCTTACACAGGCTGGCTTATAAGGGGTGCTGGTCTCGGAGCGGATGGGTGGTACAGTCCTGTCACCTTCTATTTGTTTGTAGCGATGCTTGGGACAGGAAGGGCTGTCAGGAACATGCCACGAGTGGCCATCAGAAACCGATTTGCCTGAAACAGAAATCCCAAGTGAGGGTCTATTCTCCAACCAAAGGATGCATATTTAGTGACACAGAGATGGCCGTGGGTGACATGGCATCAGGTTATAGTATCAAATGAGTTCCGCAGCTTCCCTTGCAAAGCATGCATGTTTGCAAAACGTCAGTAATGTCTCAGAAGAGAATGAAATGAGTCATGCAACCAAGTGACATTGTGCCTTCACTAGATGGGGTCACAGTGGAGCACAACAAACATGATTTTCTGTGAGATGAAGGGCACTTTGGAAGGAGCTGGTGTCTTGTGTATGTGTGGGGGGAGTGGGTAGGATGGATATTGGGCAGCAAGGTCTTCTGGGGCCAAGAAGACAGGAGATTTCTCAGGAGTGAGGGGAGAACGACTGTGAAGATGGACTTGGAACCAATGGACCATGTGTGGCTGTCCCCCACCACTGGCAGATGGGGATGGGGTCAAGGATACAGATTAGGGCTGCAAGTCAAGGAAAGATTTCTTCTCCTGAGGCAAAAGCAATGGTCATTTCTTTCCCCTGCCCCAGGAAATCACCAGAAGCAAGGAAATAGTTCCAAACCAAGCCACCATGAAGAAAGCTTGGCTCATGCCAAAAGACTTCAGTTAGATGAAGGGAAAAATACTACTAATAAAAGCACCACCAGGAAAAACTTCCTCTGCACAGGTCTGCAGGAGGAAGAGAGAGAGGGCGTGGAGCCACTCTGGTAGAGGTGGGTTTTGTAAGGAGCACGCAGGTATGGATGAGTACGGCAGTGTAAATACACCATGACACAAGGACCAAGGCGCATGGTGTCCACAGAAGGCACAGGTCAGACATGACACAGGAGCAAGGTTTAGGATGCAGTATACGCCACAGGGTGCTGCCATGTTGAGACACATGCACGGGCAGGGGCCTACCAGAAGACGCTTTCAAAGATTTTGTGGTCATTTTAAGATATGCCTCAGGATTGTCAGGGATTTCTACATCTGAAAAAGAATAATGTCATTGTCCTCACTGAAGGTGCCTGCAGATTAATGCCCAAGAAATAAGTTAACACAATAGAAACAGTGCCAGCTGAGTGGAGAAAATAAACTATCTTTTTTAGTAAAAGAATTTTGGAAACCAGAAGGATTTTTCTTTTTAGTTAACTCTCGACAGTGGCAGCAGTGGCAGCCAAGGGGGACATACGTGGCTGGAATAAACAGACTCAATCTATCGATACTCTAACAAACGTCACTGGGAAATTGATTGATGAGTCTCCCCACAGCCAGGGTCATCAGTGGACAGCCTAATGACTGAACGTGAATTTCTTTTTCTTTTTTTTTCTCCTTTCAGTCTGCTTGTAATGGGAATGAGCCAGTTCTCAGGTGAGCCAAGAGGTGGGCAGGACAAAACCTAGAAAGCCACAAGTCTGGGTCAGCCACAAGCCGGACTCCTGGTCACTGAGAGCTGACCTGTTGCTAAGATGCGAGAAACACATCAGGCCAAACAGGTCCACTTTGAGGGCTCTGGGAACCGTGCCGTTACCTGACAGCGCACTGTAGAACGGGTCCTCCTCGTCGTCTTCGTGAGAGGAGGAGCCCCCCACGTCACCTGTGTGATCCCACTCCAGGGGAATGGAGTCTACACTGACAGGGGTCTCACAGCCAGACCGCTCCTGCCCTGGAGGTGGTGACACGAGGTGACACAGGGACTGGGGAGACGAGGGCTCCTCGCTCTCTCCCCTTTTATGCCAAGAGTCAGTCTGGATCTCTCTGGGGTCTTCCATGTCTGTCTCATTCTCAGAGGCCTCCTTTTCATCTTCTAAGCCCTAAGTTGGAATACCCAGCAATTAGAATTGTGGAATTCAAAGGCTACTACAATTAGAAGGAACCTTAGAAGTTTGCCGATCTAGAAGTTTCTGAAAAGAGTTACCATTAATATTTCTAAGGCAGCTTTATAAAAGAGCTAGCTTCCCAGGTCTTGTTTTTCATTATTTGAGTTTTAACAATCCAGAGTGGGGTCTGTAATCTGTATTTTACAGAACTCTCTAAGTTAAAGATATGGAAATGGTCAAAGTTTCATTATGGTTAATAGCAAGTTCCTCCAAGAATCAGAAAAAGTTTTAAGAAGAATATTAGCGAGTTCTGGATAAGATTCACAGTGTCAAGGCCCTCATGCAGTACGTCTGTTCTTTCTTTGGCTAACACTGCAATGCCTCTATCAGTCCAAGAAAAAAATGACTTCAAACTATTACATTTAAAAATGAGGAAACTGAGACTGTCTGATGAAAAAAATAACTGCATTTGAGGTGGCCAGTTGCAGACACACACACAAAAAAAAAACAGTGACCCAGCTGTGTTGGTCACTGGACATCATGAAAGCTTCTGGCCCACTAAGGTGGTAAACTTTGAATAACAGCCTTAACTCCACCTGAACTTCCCAAATGGCTCCTTTGTCAAGGGAAACATCAAAATAGCTTGAGAAAGCTGGTATAGTCTTCATTTCAAAGGTGACAACAAAGCACTAGAAAGGGCCAAATATTAAAAGCTTCCAGACATTACAAGAGAGGAAAAAGCAAATACATTCCCAATTTGCTAAATAATCAAAACCAGAAAGGATTTCAGTGAATTCTAGGGGCACTACACATGCCAGAAAATTCTTGTACTGAGCAATCCATTGAAAACAGGTAGGAGGAGCAAGAACTTTCAGAAGTTCCTTGTCACTGGCTAGTGGGAATTTGTAAGTAATTGTAGCTCTATATTAATAAGGGTGAAATGTGGACTTTTTTAAAAAACCATAAATCATGTTAACCATTACAAGGTGTATTTCCCAGTTCTTTAAACATCCGGTCCAATGTAGCCTTTGAACAGCCCAGAGTTCTGGGTGGGTAGGTTGCCCTTACTGGAGTGTGGGAGGTGAGCCGCTGGTGGAATCGGGAGACCCTGCCAAACACCTCCTGGCAGTACCGGTGAGTTCCTCCAGCTCATCTTCGATCAACTCTGCATCCAGGGGCTCGCTCTTCTGAATCAGCTGCTCCCCAAACACGATGAGCTGGTCAATCTTGTTTGTATTTAATGTTATTTCCTGTTGGAAGCCCTATTGGGAAGATGAGAAAGGGAGGCCTTCACAGACAGAAAATTTCCCCAAAGCATCCAGCCAGCATTTGCTTATTACAGTGCTATTGACAAAAACATCAAATGTTAGATGGTTTTGTTCTTTTCTCATTTGTTTTGTACTTCTCCAGCTTCATTAATTTTTAACTAACTGATGATGATGGTCCAGCAGCTTTAAACAATTGTATATATATTTTTTCCTTTTCTTCTAGGTACTGATTTTTTCCAATTAAAAATGTTTAAGTTTGACACAGATGGACATGGGCCATTATTGGGTGCGAGGGAGGAAACTCGTCTTACAGCGACTTGGTGGGGAATAGAACATTTTCCATAATAAGCCATCAATGGGTATCTGATTTGGCTGACACAATAAAAAATGTTAATTAGTGCCATTATTTTAGAAGAGGCAACATTTCTTTTCTCAACCTCTTTTCAAATCTAGCCAAGGAGAGAATAACGGTAACAGTGAGATAAATCTGCAACACAGACATCTGTTGCAGCTGGGGGCGTGGCTCAAGTGGTGAAGTGCCTGCCTAATAAGCACAAGGTCCTGAGTTCAAACCCCAGCAACCACTAAAACAACATGAAAACAACACACAGATATCATATTGCGTCTTGGCCTTTTGGCTAAGACCAAGTGCAGATATCTGTGCAGTGGGAGAGCAGAAGAGATCCATTCTTCATCCCACTGGTGACCAATGTCCTCTGTGTCCACCAGGCTGCAATTATACTAAAGTGCTGCAGAAATAGACCTTAGAAAATTCTGTTTGGAACCTAAAGTGAGTCCTCCCCTTGCTTCACTATAAATGATGGTGAGAAAAAAGGTCCTCATTCCAGTGTCCTGTAATTACAAGTACAGCATCCTTGATTGTGACAATCCAGAAGTACACAGGTGGGAGATAGTTAGGCTGCTTGAAGAATTCTGGAATCTGCACTCAGAGAATCAGATGAAATTTACATTTGGCCAGCCTTCCTCTACAGAGGTGTTTCCCATCCATGTACTTACCTGGCCCGATCCTGCTTAGCTTCTCAGATCATTGCACAAGATCAGGCGTGTTCAGGGTGGTATGGATGTATACTGCAGAGGTATCTCTATTTTTTAAATTTATTTATTTACTTTGGCAATACTGGGGATTGGCCCAAGCACTCTATCACTTGAGCTGCACACTCTAGTTCTTTTGCTTTTAGTTTTTCAGATGGGGTTTCCTGCTTTTGCCTGGGCCATTCTCAGACCACAGTCCTTCCACCTACACCTTGTGGAAGCTGGGATCAAAGGTGTGCACTTACCATACTCAGCTTGTTTTTGATATAGGGTCTTTTATCTGGGCTGGCCTTGAGCCTTCATCCTGTTATCTCTGCCTCCTGAGCAACTGAGATTACAGGTGTACACCACCATGCCTGGTGCTCATAGGCACCTTTTTTTTTTTTTTAAAGAAGAGTGGAGGAAACAGCCCTTACATTCAGTTGGCGCATCTTGTCGGCAGCATCGCTCTCTGAGAAGTGCTCCACGTTGGTCAGCTGCAGGTCCATCTCTGTGAGCCACACTAGAATGCTCTCCCTAGTGCCCTCAAACTCTTCCCTCTGGTTAGTGAAATGCTGTGAAAAGTAGGAAGAAAATCATGTTTGTATTGATCAGGGAACAAGTACTCAGACAGCCCACATGGTTACTTTCAGACCAAAGGAAAGGGTACCAGGAAAGTCTCAGAGCCCGGTGCTCTGGCCGTGGCTGTGAAACCAAACAAGCCCCCCAGCCTCTCTGAGCCTCAGCTTCTACCCTAACAAATGAGGGGAGGGTGTGGAATGTTGAATGTGCTCTCTCTTAGGTCTTTCAGGCACTTGAAATTCTGTCACCGAGCGCTCGATGTTGGCTGAGAGCCCCTTGGGGCCAGGCTGGATCCCCTCTGCCTGCTTTCCCTGCTACTCCTCTGCAACAGCTTTCACATGCAAGGTTTAGCAGAATCCAGCTGGGCAAGCACTGATCTCAGGGCTGAGCCTGGCCAACTCACTGGGCAATCTGCCTTCGTGTAATTTTGAATCTGTTGGAGACCCACAGATTTTTCACCTCCAAAGAAGGAAACCTCTCAGGTTACACCTCATAGATAGGCAGCTGACTCCCAGATAAATGTGGCATTCAGGGCCGAATGAAGGGTTAGACCAGTAATAGCCAAATCAGCAGATCAAGCAATTAACACAAGGGAACCGTCTAACATTACTGGAAATGCTAGCCAATTCCTCCTGAGTGGGTCTTAAAAAAAACAAGAAAGAAAAAGCTCCGATTCTCATCTTCCTGAAATGGTTGCAAAAGCATTCTGCCCTAAGAACTGGAGCCGAGACTAAAATTACACCCTGCAGTTCCTGCCTACGTGGTCCTCTCGGTTTATACCTGGACTGACAAAGGTTTACACGGCACATCTAAATGACAGAAATCTAAGATGAACACGGCCTCATGTGGGTTGACACCCAACGGCTCAACCAATTTCAGGCTGAAAATATTTGGGGGGAAAAAATGGTCTGTACTGAACATGTATACACTTTGTCATTTCTTATTCAAACAACACAATTATTTACATTGTGCTAGGTATGATTTACAGTATAGGAGAAGCTATGCACATGGATTATACGCAGATTATATGCAAATACTGCATAGCACCCAAGGAGTTTGGACTCTGCAGGAGGTCCTGAAATCAGGACTGTATTTATCTTCAAAAAACTAACCTGAACCTCTGAGGTTAATCAGTGTGCTTTAAAGCCCAGAAGTCAATCAGTGTCCCTACCCTCCACAAAGTAGAGCGGGAGTGTGCACTGGTGTGTCTTATCCATACTCTTGGTGCAGGGGCACAAAACAGACAGACGGGCAAAGCAAGTCTCTTTCCAGAGACCCATGTCATCTTCACTGACCCAGCGGGGCAGAACTGCAGCCTGTGGGCAGTCCACGTGCTGACGGGTGACCCACAGGAGTCACAGAAGTTGTAAACAGAGACGTGTGTGGGTAACACAGATCATATAAACAGGCCTGGCCTAAGCAGCACCCGTGCAAATCCCCTTTAAGGACTGAGCATTCAGTTGTGGGCTCCTTTGTGTGGGAAAAACGCTAAGGTAGCTCAGGCCTCCAGTGAAATCTGCCTGCTATTCTGTGTCACAAGCCTGTCACTGCTTATTGCTTATCACTCTCCCTGACAATGTCCACACGACCCGGGGGCAGCAGGGAAGTTACTCTGAGTCTGCGCAGCACGGCCGTGACCCGCTTCTGCAGGTTGTCCCAGCGCTGGTTGCCCTCGTGCACCATCTGTTTCAGCTTGCTGGCGGTGTCCGTGCGGTTCTCCCGCGCCAGCCGTCGGTACTGCTTGTTGATGAGCTCCAGCTGCGTGAGCCGCTCGTGGATCTGCCGCTGAAAGGCCTGTGTCACATGGGGGGTGGTGATGGTGTCACTGCCATACAGGTAGAGTGCCACAACAGCCTGATCCCCAAGAATGCAGTGGCAGCCCGTGATGATAACTAAAGCGGGGGACTTCCAAGGTCACTGTGCAACCGTGGGCACACACTGGTAACCTCCAGCAAAGCTGTCCCAGCAGCTGGTGGCAGTTGAGGGCTGCCCAGCCCAGACGTGGGTAGCTGAGAGGAAGTCACTTAGCAGATTGGTCCCTAGCAGGGGATGGGTCAGGGAAGGGGTTTACCTCGAACCTCTTCAGCTCTTCTTTGGCATTTGTGTACAACACCTCAGAGGAATTGGGGCAGGCCGCTGTCCTCTCGGCGGACTTGAGCCAGTCCTCGAAGCGGGAATAGTCATCTAGAAACTTCTGCCACAGGCGCCATGTCTCCTCAATTCTGACAGGAGGAAGGTGACTTAGCATAGCCATCCACTTCTACCCTGGGACTCAGACTACTTTTGGTCCTCGACTGGGCCCATTCCCAACCACCTTCTGCTTGCACTGTGCAGGAAGGGAACCTGCCATCCCTTCCAGGAGACAACTAAGGTGCCACTTCTTGAGCTGCTCAGTTCCTGCCGGGAGAGCCCAGCAGCTCAGCACTCCTGCTTGCAGGGGCCAGCCTGCCATCCCACATAGGGCTGGGTCAACCCTAGGGATGTGGCCGGCCAGGGGACAGCTGGAGAAAGACAGCACTGCATGGTGCTTTCTTCATTGCTTTCTTAGTAAGCACTGGCCACCCCACTGGGCCCTTGCTGCTGCTACCTGGCATGCTTCTAAGTGACATGAACAGAGAACACAGCTACTGTGGCTGGTCTGGCTGACCACGTTCACAACATTTGGTGCCAGCTTGGTCCTTACTTCATGCGCCGCTCCATCGACATAGCACAAATGTTTCTCCAGCGTCTGTCCAGGCTCCTGGTGGTCTGCTGGATCGAGTCACACTCAGTCTCATTGGCACAGGCGTCGGAGTCATGCAAAAGGACGTCGCAGATGTTGAACACGGACTCCACCCCTGCACTGTGTTGTTCAATATCTCGCTGCAGATCCTATGATGGCAGGAGTAGGAGAGCCCTTGAGATGGTGGAAGGAGGAAGGCTGGACCTCAGGACTCCTGCTTACCCCTCTCTCCCTCCCTCCCTCCTCCTAGCCCAGGGGCACATCTGCCTTGCAATCTGAACACAGACCGACCCTGTCATCTTTGTGTAGTCCTGAGTCATCCTATCTGACCCAAAGCTTACACACTGGCAACAGTTGGGATTTACATGCTCAAGTATATTGGGGTGGGGGTGCCCACCACACTGACAGGCACTGCTGACCCTGAGAGGCCACTGCCCCACAAACTTTGGGTATACATGGGGCCCGATCTAAACCACCTAACTCCAAAGGCCTCAATTTAGACTAGATTTCAGAGGGTTTGTGAGAAAAAAAGTCCCTTTAGTGGGAACAGAAACTTTAAACCTTTTAATGGTAAGAGAACTCTTGAATCAACAAAGACCCTTGTGCTATCTCTACACACAGCCTCAGGGTACAGGTAGCAGCTCCGGTGCACGGCCCTCCTCGAGAGCCCATTTGAAGGCTCCATGATTCTCAGGGAAGAACTCTGGGGCTCCCCAATCCATGGAGTCTAGCCAAGGCCATGGGGGGAGGGTAGGATCTGTGGAATCTTATCCCATGACAGCCACAGTGATACAGTTCCACAATTTGGGGAAAAGAGTATTTATGAAGAGACAGTGCATATTTGTGGGAGAAAAGATGGAAAACTTCTTTAAGAATATGGCTTTTTTCAATCCTCCTGAGAGATTATTTCTTCCATACACCATGAGTATACTTGGGGTAGTCTTCCCTGAAATCTAAATTCGGTGAGGTAAGTGACATGAGACATCATTCGTCCTAGTATCCAAATCACATTATAAAGTAGCAAAGACAAGCAAATTCTACTTTGTTTGATAATATACCCATTTCAGATCATTTACAATGCTTTAAATAAGCCGCTATTAACTACACTAGCAGTACAACTCAGTCTACAAGAGGACTATTTTATAAACAGTGGCTGCCACCATCCGACAAGCTAAGGATCATTCCAGGTCACCTCAATTATTATTTCAATAATTTTGGAGATGCTTATTGTTTGATTAGGTAGGCCTAGAATTCTCCTAAATCTCTTCTGCTAAACACACAACCTTGACCTCTCTGTGTTCAGGTAGATGTGAGAAGACAGATGCTACCACTGCATCTGAAGTCTAATAAGTCAGGCGGGTCCAGCTCACATTGCAAGTCAAAATGTGCCACTGAGTTACAGCCAGAAGAAATTGGCTTCCATTGGGTCAGAGAGTACCTGAAATGCTGCAAGGGTAGGAATTTCCCCAGGAGTCAGGACTAGCTTTAAAATGATTACATTTAAGTAGAATTCTCATTTTAAGAATACTTACTGGAGTGGAGGAAAAAGGGAGAGTAATAAAGGGTGGTAATCTAAGTACAGTGTGTTCACAACTGAGATATCATCACAAAACCCCTTTGAACAATGAATATGGACTTAGAAGCACAGGATTGTAAAACAGGTCCTGTGAGGGGTAGGTCCTTATGAGGGGGAGGGGTGAATATGGTTGATGTACTTTATATACTTGTATGAAATAGAAAAATGAAACTGGTTGAAATTGTTTTAAGTTATGAGGGAAGGGAGATGAATGAGAGAGATGGTGGGGACAAACCTAACCAAGGTACATTGTAAGCATATTAGAAATGTCACGATGAATCCTCCCTATACAAGTTATGTATGATAATAAAAATGTTTCTTTCTTTCTTTTTTCTTTTAAAGAGCTCTTACTGAGATGGCGATGTGACTCAAGCCAGTCTGGGAAAACAGTTCAAGAAACCCCATCTCCAAATTAACCAGACTAAAATGGACTGAAGGTGTGGTGGCTCAAGCTTTAGCATGCCTGCTATGCCCTGAGTTCAAACCCCAGTTCCACCAAAAGTAAAAAATAAAACAGAAACAAAGACACTGAATAACAAAGAAGGTATATGACAGTAATAAAGGAGTTCTAAAACGATTTTGGTATTTAAAAAAGCAAAAATCCAAACATTTTTAACAAAATACCTAAAAAAGCAAACCAAAATACCCCAAACCCAAACAAAAGAAGCAACCTCCCCAACCCCCCTCCCACAGAATGCCTACTGATGTTATAGTATGAACTAGTTCCCTTAGGCAATATAAAAAAGTAGTGGACAGCTTCTAAATAAACCACTCAAGTGCTGAGGGAGACATCTTACAAACCAAAATAACCCTACCACTAGCATTTACTAGGTGTGAGTCTGATCTGTCTGATCCCAGAGAAGAGCCAGATTTAAGGAAGGACATAAAACTGTGGAAGATGATTTTGTCCGGGTTCTGGAAAGGGGCCCCTGTCCATTCCACTTTCTAACCCAGGGTGACACAGGGTCCCGAAGTGGGAAAGACCAAAGGAGAAGAGGGGGGCAGCAAGAGGAGATGGGGGAGCTAAGCAGTGAAAGTGTAGAAGAGAACTCACCCAGGAAGAATGAGGATGAAAAGAAACCAGAAAAACAAGATGAAGGGGAAGCCTAGGGAGCAGCCCTGGGCAGGGGCTTGGCTTGCAGGCAGGTCAGGCAGGGTGGTGCAGGGATAGGGGACTTGGGGATCTGGAATGTAGCTGAATCAGCCTGCAGGAAGAAGTGACTACTGGTAACCACTAACCATCTCCCCAGGCCATCGTTTGGCACCCCAAAGGGAACCAAGGAACAAGCCAGGAGAGAAATGCAGAAGACTCAGTGAAAGTGGCTGAGGATTTCAGTCACTGAAAACCACACCAGAAGTCTGCAGGAGTAACAGCAAAACCTATTGCTATATAGCTAAAGGAGTTCAAGATATGAAGGGAGAAATAAAAGAGACTCTTCAGGGCCCAGAAGTCCCCTACAAAGTCCCCAAGGACATTACAAAGACGATCTAGGGACAGCATGGCTTTACACTACTTTAGGGGAGTGAAGCCTTTTGCAGAAGGCAATACTAAGTGATTCCAAGTGTTTAAGTCTTTTTGGAAGCAATCAAACAATTCATTAAATTTATTAGGGACGGAAACATGAGTAAGGTCTTTAAAAATGGCTCTGATGTAATTTTTGTGTGAGACATTTCTGTTTTCAGTGTTTTAGATGGTCTAGGTTTAGTACAATAAATACATGGTGACTTATTCAATAAAATATTGTTTCCTTATGACACCTGTAGTAAGGATAGAGACTCCTTCCCTCCAAGAATGTCCAGATCCTAACACAGAACCTGTGAACATACTAGGAGAATTAAATCTGCTAATCATTTAAAATAGGCAGAGGAGCCTAGATTACCTGGGTGGGTCCAGTGCAACCCCAAGGGCCCTGAAAAGTGGAAGAAGAGTTAGAGAAGACTGGCTTATAGAGATATGATAAGGTGATCACTGAAGATGGGAAGTGGCCATGAGCCAAGAAATGTGGGTAGCCTCTAGAAACCAGAAAGGGCCTGTTGACAACTTCTCAGAACAGAGAAAAATCAATTTGTATTTCCAAACTGCTATTTGTTTTATCAGCTCTAGACAAGTAATACATCTAACTTCTTTACAGTGTGGTAGTCCTGGAGAGCAATGCTGTAACTTTTTTTTGGCAACTTAAAAACTTAAGAATTCTATTTTGGTGATTTTAAGTTCTGTACAGAAACTTCAAATCAACCAGACTGAAATGAAACATCATTCATTTCAATCTGGGACACACAGGCCAAGAAAAGGCCAATTCAAAATTGTATGCTTCTGGGAGTAAATTCCCTGGAATTTAATGTTTGTTGTACTTTGGGTTTATAAAAAATTAGCAGCTTTCAGTCCCTGCCAAATTGAGCCAACTATTCTTTAAGAGCAAAGATACTGCCAGCTTATACTATTTCCCTAAAACAAAACAAAACAAAACGAAACAAAACAAAAAACCCAAACAAAACCTCTCAGGGCTAATAGTTATTTCCAAGGCCTTGTCTATTAAGAGACTATTCAAAAAATTCATCCCAGTAGCTTAAACTTGTAAATAAAGCTGAATGATATTCTGTGGCCATGACTCCCCAAGAAGGGTATTAAACTTTCTGTAATACCCACTAAAATTCTGTGATATTTGGATCAGTATTGTCTTCTCAAAAGCAAAGACAGAATCCAGATGACCTCAATGAAAAAGACATACAGTCTGCTGCAGCTCAGTGGAAAACCAACATTTTAAATCTGCAGAAGTATTAAATCACAGTAGCCGAAAGCCATGGAATAGGTAGCATTTAAACTGTAATCGGAACAGCACGGTGAAAAGAGTGTTAGGAAACAATTAGCTCTATGTATGGCAGATGAAACCATGAAAAGGACTGACCTGAACTCAAGAGAATGTACCATCAAGGGCTCGCCCACTGGCCTTGAACCTGATGAAAATGTTGGGCCCCTACCTGTCACTACCTTGGTGGTGAGGAGTATTTCACGAAATGCCATGCGAATGCTGACAGGGTGGGGACATTCAGGAGAGGTATACCACATACACAGGAATGGGACAGGTGAGCAGTTTTTCCCGGGGGAAATGGGAACACTGAAATAGCTGACAGATGTGGGGCAGGGCTGCATCAGCAGACATGGCTGAAGCCACCTTCCCTCTCACCGAGCTCCTGTCCCAGCCCCACCTGCTGCTCGGCCAGCCTCTTCTGGATTTCCTGATCATCACAAACGTCGTACACGACTGGCTTCGAGAGCTCGGACTCGATCCGAGCCAACCAGGTCCGGAGGTTGCTCATGTTTTTGTCTAGCTGCTGAATAAAGGTGAATGTCTCCTTCAGCTTCTTCACCCTAAACACATTTGGGGGGGGGTGAAGAACAAAAACCCAACATTTAGCAGTGGAGAAGCATGAGTCAAAGAGTGTTGCTGGGGAAACGGAGTCTACAGTGCTTTGATCCACAGCAGGAACAACTGTCACTTCACCACACACAGTTCTCACAGACGAGGTGACACTGCAAACTGTTGCCTCGTGATTTTTCAAAGAGTTTCAGTCTACCCACACCAGCTCAGACGTCCTGTCATTCCCAGTGGGATCCTGAGACCCTGTCCATCTTTCTGGGTCTCCAAAGGTAAGAGGAGAGAGATGTCACTTCCTTTTCCAAACAACCACTCCTGGCTGCTTTGGTCCAGTCTCTGTCCTGGGTATGTCTGGGACTGCAGCCACCAATGGTCCTCCCATTGATAAAGGATGTCACATGGATGGTTTGCTTGGCATTTGGCCCATGGTGCCACTCAGGGGACCTCTTTCTGAGAAAGGATAGAACACATGGCAAACTCCTGCCACTTGAGTCTGAGGGTTGATGGTGCCATGCAACCAGCCCATGTGGGTACACTATGGGGTATCTCTGGCATGCAAACGGAGGGACAGAGGTGATTTGCACTCAAGCTCTAAGTGTCCACCTTAGCTCTCATTCAGCCCAACTTGGCATGGAGCAGGTCCAAGAGATCACACATATCATCAGGGAGGGAGGGGCTGCTGAGGGAAAACCTTTTTTTTTTTTTGTTTATTTTCTCAGGTATTTTTTTGCAGCAACAGAAAGTTAACACAATCTTTAACAATACTTAAGGATTTTTCCTTGTCTTTTCATTTTACTGATATTACTTTATGCTTTTAGTTTCCACTTCCCTGGTGAATCGTGTAATTTTGCATTTTTTCCATAAATTCAACAGATACTTAGGAAACTTCATTTGGACTTTCTATTTCTTACTGATTTCTGAAAGTTTTTTTTTTGTTGTTATTTGGTTTTTTTTGGTTCATTTATTCACATGTGCAAACATTATTTGGGTCATTTCTCCACCCCGCCCCCCACCCCCACCCTTCCATCTTTTTTTTTAGACAGGGTCTTGCTACGTAGCCCAAGCTGGCCTGGAACTCATGATCTTCCTGCCTCAGAATCTTGAATGCTCAGATTACAGGCGTGCATGACTCCCCCCACCCCCAACCATCATTCATTTTATAGATACTGAAGTAAAATGCTTCAACAAACCACTTTCATGAAAACTCTAAAATAGAGTGAGGGTTCACCCTAGTGATCTGGCAGATTTCAGTTAACCCCAGATATTAAAGCAATGGTTATAGTTGAAATTTTCTGTTTATCAATACTCACGTTGGAAGCTGCTGTCAAAACCACATCCCACAGCTGACAGTAGTAGAAAGACAAATTGGGGTGCTGACCCTAGCTTGCTAGAAACACCCGGCCTGCCACACCACCACCATCTCTTACTTCACTGAACTTGCTAGCAGCCCTCTTGCCCTCCTACCCACCTTTGGTTCCAGGGCTGAAGTGTGCGCTCTGGAAGGCAAGGCTTATCCATGCTTGGAGCCTCTCAACAGTCCATGCCCTACCCCAACAAACCAGTTTAACCCCGTCATCTTTCCAACACCTCAAGCGTTTGTTTGGTGGCCTCTGCCTCCAGCCCTTCACTCTGGAAGCCACTCCCCTTTCCTTCAGGAACTTACTCATGTCCCCTCCCCCGCATGCTGTTGCACTTGGCCCTCACCGGTGACACATTCTACCCATCAGGACAGAGACCAGCATAGCACCTTCCACTCCTCTTGATGGACAGGAGGAGTTGACAAACACCTATTGAATGAATAACTGCAGATGGATGTGGTTTAAGCAGATCACAGGAGTAGATTGTGTGTGTGTTATTTTATAATCCACCAAGTCACTCTTTTACCAGTTTTATGATTTAGGGAAAAGCCTTTTGACTCAGCCCACTTATCCCTAGTAGGCCTTTGAGGTCTCTCAAGCTTCCACAGGCAGTAGCAGCACCCAGGTGAAGTTGAGGCCTGAGCTCTGAAGGGAGCAGATGGTCCAGGTCCTATTCTACCATCCATGAGCGCTCTCCCCTCTGACTGTTTCCTTATGCTACAGCATGGATCTTAAACAACACCCAAAAGGCTTGGTCCCCAATGCAGCAGTGGGCAGAGGTGGGTCCTTTGCTAGGTGATTGGCTCATGAGGGCGCTGACCTCAGGAATGGCTAACTCCATTGGTGAGTTTATAAGGGGCCTGGGGGAGGGGTGGGAACCTTAGGAGGTGGAGCCTAGATGGAGGAAGTAGGTCATCAAGGATGTGCTCTTGAAGGGGATATTTTGTCTCCAGCCCTCCCTCCCTTTTCTCTTTGCCTCTTGCCTGTCACCAGGTGAACGGCTTGTCCCCAGGATGTGCTCCTGATATGATGCACTGCCTTGCTCCAGACCCGAAAGCAACTTGGCCAAGCAAGCGTGGATTTAACTTCTGAACCCATGAGCCAAATAACGCATGTAACTTCCCTCAGATTCTTTGTCACAGTGACAGAAGGCCGATTCACACACCTTATAAAATTAAACACCGTTGCAGGCGGTGTGGGGACAGCAGGATGCAAGCAGAATCACTGTCACATGACAATTGCTCCACAATACCAGCTCTTCCTCTGCCGACTAGAACACACGACACTGCAGTCATGCCCTATCCATATGCACTGAACCTTAGAAAGTTGTTCTTTTGCTTTTTCCCCCTAGTATTGGGGGTTGAACTCAGGGCCTCCCCCTTGTTACACAGGTGCTCAACCACATGAGATGTGTCCCAGCTCTTTTGCTTTTCGGTTTATTTTTTAGATAGGATCTTGAGCTAACTTGGCCTGGGCCAGCCTTGGACCATGATCCTCTTACCTCTTCTTTCCAAGTAGCTGGGATTACAAGTGTGCACAACTATACCAGCCATGAAGCTCTTTAATAAGTGTTTTATTCTTAATAGCACCATGACGCGCTATTAAGCAGACTATGTGGTGGTAAGGGCCTGGGGTTGAGTCCTGGCTTGTTTGATCTCACTTGTAAAACACTGTTAACAGTCATGCCTTTCTTGGCTGAATAGCTGAGACTACGTGGGAGATATAAGGTGTGAAGGACATTGGGACAATGCCTGACATGACTGTGGGCATGACCAGTTTCAAGGAGGTACATCCTCCAAATTGCTCTCTTGCCGCAAACAAGTTACCTTCAAAACCAGAAGATGACTGAAAAAAGAAGAGAATCCTAGGCCAGACTGTGAAATGGTTATAACCTGGCTTTAGGGCTCCATCCTCTTCACCCCCATCTTGCCACCCTGACTGTCCAGGGACCACACAGGTGTGAATGGCTGCCATCCTGGAAGGCTCTGACTGTGAGAGCTCCACATGGGTGGGGACCAGCACTCAGGCTCAGTGACCTCCCCAAAGCTTTCCCACCCTCCCTCAGTAACCTTCCACGCCTTTACCTACCACCTGAGCTTGGCCTACCATAAAAATCCCAGCCTCTTTCTTATTTCAGAAAGAAGGGGGCTGGAATGCAAGTTTTTATAAGCAGGGAGTTAACAAGCAACAAAGTAACATGAGTGAAAAAATACAGGGATGTCTGATCCTGACTTATGTCAGCCCCAGGTTAGGGCTGTACTAATGAATACATTCTGGATAAAAGGGAGGAGGGCTTTGCTTTTTCACTCAGGTATGTGGAACTAGGATGGAGTGCTCAAGACAAACAAAACACAAGGGGAGCATCCCTAATCTGAAAATGAAATCTTTTTCCAGCACCATCACAATGCCACAACTGGAAAATTCCACACCAGACATCACATGACCATCAGTCAAAACACAGGCACACTAAAAATATATGAGGCTGGTGCATGGCTCAAGTGGTAGAACACCTGCCTAGCAAAAGCACAAAGCCCTGAGTTCAAACCCAGTACCAGCAAAAAGACAAAATATATATTAATTTACCTTCAGGCTACGTGTGTAAGAAACTAAAGTGAGGGCCAGGTGAGATGGCTCATGTCAGCTACAGCAGCCACCTGAAGGCAAAGATCAGGAGGATCACAGAGGCCAGCCTGGGCAAAAAGTTAGCAAGACCCCCATCTCAATCAATGAGCTTGGCATGGTGACACATGCCTGTCATCCCAGCTATTCAGGAGGCATTAATAGGAGGATCATAGTCTGAGGCTGGCTTGGACAAAAACATGAGACTGTGAAAAGTAACTAAAGCAAAAGAAAAAAAAAAAACCTGGGCAAATGATTCAAGTGTAGAAAGTCTGCCTAGCAAAGGCAAGGGTGAGGCCCTGTGTTCAAAACCCAGTACCAAAAAAAAAAAAAAAAGAAATGAAATATGAAATTTAAATGGATTTTTTGTTTAGACTTGGGTCTCATCCCTAAAATGTTTCATTATTATATGTTAATATTCCAAAATCTGAAAAAATCCAAAATCCAAACTCCTGTTCTCAAGCATTTTGGCTACGGGATGCTCGACCTATATTAAGACTTTCCAACACTAATCAAATCCTCTTACAATCTGTAAGTCGTATTACAGAAATAGAACCGCTATGTAACATGCTAACACCTACCTGCTGACATGTGCTAAGCTGTCGTGCTTCACGTGCTAGCAACTTAATCCCCCAACAATGCTGAGATGGCTACAATTATTACTGACCCCATTCCAATCAGGACAGTGACGGACAGAGGTTAAAATAACTCATCTAAGTTGTACAGACATTAAACAGCAGGGCAGAATTCTAACCTGGGCAGTCTGGCCCAGAGCTGCTATTTCATGGCCTCTCATGCACCCTGCATATGCTAATGTCACACATTAGTGGTAGAGGACGGGTTTTGTTGCTGTCGGGGAACATGACCATAAGTTTGGACTGATGGCTCCAGAATACTCTGGGGAAGGAGCCAGTCCATGGTGGGCTACATTTGTGGCTTTTAGATGATGCAGGGGCAGAGGGTCAGAAAGTTCAAATATGCCGCCCCCTGCCCCTCCCATGATTTTCTTTCAATGC